CAAACGTCTCTCAGCTTTCTGCCAAATGGACGAATGGCCAAGATATGGCTTCATGAACCTCTAGTGCAGGGTCACGTGAAGGCAACAGCCTAGATAGGAGCAAAAGGAAGGTGATGAACAGTGAAAAGGACACAGAATGGACAGCAGAGCTGATCACTGTGCTGTCTGGGGAGATGACAACTTTCTTTGGACAAAACACCCAGAATCCCTTCTAACTCACATCCAGCATCCTGCTTTGAACAGCTTTAAAAGAATCTTTGGCTTTTGGGAGCAATCCCGCAACAGCTGCTGCCTGTTCCAAGCAGCAGGACATCAGCCATTCAGGTAAAGGAGAGAATTTTAGAGCAAGAACCAAACTGCACCACTGGAGAGCAGCAGCCAAATGACGTGGCTCTGAATTGGACACGTCTGAGGGAGGCAGAACAAATGCCACAAGAAAGGCCACAAACACCTCTCTCTCCCTTGAGAATTTCCCGTACAGAAAAATGCTGTCTTCCTAAGGTGTCTCATCTGCAATCCAACCTTAGACCTCAGTTTCTTGCTAGCACAAGACTTTCATGAACACTGGATGAACACCAGGGTCTCACCAATGTGCACCAATATGGTCCCCTCCATTTTGTACAGGGTTTATCACAACTCATTTCCCAGAAGGGATAAAGACAGAAAAACAAAAACAAGACAAAACCCAAGCAAAACTGCAGCTCTCCTTACAAGAAAAGAAGGGGAAAAAAAAAAAGAAAAAAAAAAAGACAATACAACCAGAAACAAAGAGTGAACTTCATAAAAGCAGAACTCCAAATTATGAAGAGTTTGCCCTTGAGGCAGATACTGAAGATGAGAAGTACAGTGTCTGAATGCAGAGATTTTTGTTGCTACCAAAAAGCAGTGAGAAACCCCAGCAAATTACTTTACATAAGCCAGATGTTTCTCCAGGGGGAAAAAAAGAGTAGGAAAATACTTCTGGATTCCTCCTCTTCCACTCAGACTTGGTTCCCTTACCAGCTACTTCTTAAGGCCCTACATGTTTTTGGATTCCTTGTGCCACAAAGCAGCCATGATCACCTTCCCCGTAGTGCACTTGGTCTCCATTTCCAACAGGCCTGATATTTAAGAGAAAGCCCAGACTCCAGCCTCATGCAGAAGAACCCCAGATTCATAATGACAGCTGCCATGTGAGAATACTTCAAATCCCAATTATTCGGAGGAACAAAAAGCAGCAAAGAAGCAAAAAAAAAAAAAAAAAAAAAAAAAAGATAATGCAAAGCATGTGCAGTTTTAGCAATGACCACCATCAACCAGAGCAGAATAGAAAGACTGAACAAGGAGTGCTGGTGATCTCACCTTACACCACGTGGAGATGGGGGCCCCACCATGTGGTGTAAGGTGGGTCCAAGCTGACCACACAGGCCGAGCGTCAGCAGTCTGGGTGTCTGCACCTGCCCTGTGATTAATTCCCAACCAATAATTAATCACCACCACCGACTGTGCCATCAAAGCGAAACCACAGCTTCCGTCCTGACCGAGTTCCCAACCCAATGATATAATCGCGATACAGTCGAGCAGGAGAGCCCAGAGGCACAACTAACTCACACAGACCCACTGCAAGTAGCTCTTCATCTCTAACTGCTCCAGCCACTGCCATCACGGCTGCCAACATCTGCCACAGCCACCACAGGCAAAGGCGCTCGGCCACCGCCAGCTGCTGAAGAGCAATTTCTGGACGAGTTCTCCCACACTTCCTTTGCAAGACTCAGCTGTGCATTTGTAGCCACTGCAGCACTCACCAGCAGGCCTATCAGGCCTTCCCAGGCCATCAGACCAGGCTCCTCCACACGTAACCCAGGCAGCAAAACACGCATGGGGATCAGAGCAGATCCTTGAGGGGTTTTGAAGAAGGAGAGGGTGAAAGCAGAGCCACAGCCAGATTATTAAAAGGAGACAGGGGTTACTGAGGTATTTCCGCCTTGCTCCAATCCCTCCCAGCTCAAGAAGAGGCCCTTGTCCACCGCTCCAGAATCAAGGGGGTGACAGCCATGACAGGGAGGGATGTGCACAAAATGGCTGCCCCTTCCCAGGCTGAGGGAGATCATTCCTGAAGGGAGGGACAAACAGGGCACAGGGGCTGCTTCTGACTCTCCCAACCTTCCGGACGTTTTACCTCCCTTCCCCATCCCATTAAGTTCAACCAACCACGCATTCAGATCCAAAGCACTACTAGAAATATTTGAGAAGGCACAGGGGCATTTGGCTTGACATCCAGAAGAAATCCCCCTTTCACGTATTTCCTAAGCAGCCCAGAACATAACTGCCACAGACTGACCCAATCAGTCATAAATACAAGGATGCATTGATGAAACAAACTATTTACTTGATGTTACAACTCTACACATAGCCTGATTTTCTCATACCAAGGATAGAAAATGAAAACAACCATCAAAAGTAACCTGCCTGTTTTGGAGACATCAGCCTCCGTGTTCAGATGGTGGCAGGAAGACTGTTTCCCTATTTGCATCTTTGGGTGGCACAACAGGAGGCAAGTTCAGAGACGTGAAGTCTGAATTGCATCACGCTTGAATTGCATTCGATGCAACACCAAGAAGTAAGCACCTAGGAGAGGAATAAAAGTAGACAAGAGAAGGAAAACAAGCTACAACCAACTCTGAAGCCCTAAGCTTGTGTGCTACTCATCTGGGATTCTACTGCTGCAAAGAGTCCTTCCCATCTTTATTCTGCAGTTGTTCAGAGCACAACTCCCCTGCTCATGCTCTGTCAGTGGAAACATAAATAAGCCTTGCTGCCCTGCACAGGGAACGTGCACTTTTTACTCTCCTGTTTCACATGTAGTTATCCTCATTCCCAGGATGTACTTGCCCTGGGCCCTTCCTTCTCTGGCTAGAGTGAGCAGGCAGCTCTGCCAACGAGCACTAAGGGAGGCAGGCTAGGAAGGGCTATGCAAAAGACTGTGGGAAGCATTCAAAAGTAGCTACTTAACTTTTGCCCTGAATAGAAATGGAGGGAGAAACTTTTTGAAAGCACCAACCTGAAGTCCCTCTAGCTGTTCAAGAGAGAAGTCAAAGGGGTCCAATGAGGAGAAAAAAAAAAAAGCCCGTATTTGCTAAGGGCTTGTGACACCACACATGAAAACCTAATAACGGATCTTGCAGCCAGAGCAGGAGACTACCTGGTTTCGTAGAGCAGAGCACCACACAGCATCTTGCTGTGCAATCAGTGGGTTAACCAAGAAGCTTCACTCTGCTGCGTGTGGGAAGCAGTATCTCCTTGCCAAATTCCACCAATCTGAACATAACCAGCTTTCTCACTCAGCCCTTGCTCCTACGATTAGCTAGTGCTTATGCCCACCTCTGCAAGGGAGCGTACACAAACCCCACGCTCTGTCCTCTCATGTAAGGCTTTTCCCAGCATTGACCCTTTCCTGATGTCAGCTCTTATCTCCTCACTGAATCACTCTGACAAGACATGGGGTTTCCAAGGAAAAATCCCAAGTAAGGAAGCCAAGATGGATAAAACAACGATGGCTGAGGACCAGGCAGTCATGCTGCTCTCTGCCATTGAGGCCAGAAGGCTTGAAAAATGCTCTTTCAGGCCCCCTACAAAAGATCACTTTGCAGATGGCTTTTCAGACAAGCCATCTCCTTCCTTTGGCAACAAGGCTTTTAAGTGGAATAGCAGTGGGTTGCTCAGACTCGCAACTCCTGGGATGAAGTACCATGCAAGAGCTGCCTGCGTGTTAGTTTTTTGACTAAGGCCATTGCAAATAGCAGCTGTAGTCTTCCAGCCAGCCACAGCTCAGCTACTGCTCAACCATGCTCACAGAGCTTGTTGACTGCAAATATCCTATTCTACACCTTAGCAGAAAATTGTAAGAAATTAGGGGGAAACAAATACAACCATACACCTGATAAACATTTGCAAGTGCACAACAAGCCTACAGCATTCCTCCATTCCTTTCTCAGGAGCTGCTTTACCATGTAATTACAGGAGAAAACCTAAAGGTCTTCTTTTCCCCACATAACAGGTAGCTGTTCTCCTTTGCTGAGCCACAAACAAGCTTCTAATCAATATATAGATTCCCATCATACAGTCAACGATGGAACAAATTCTCACTGTGCACATTCTCCAAGCTCCTGCTTTAGCTTTTGACCACCTACCCAGCCCAAGCTCCTTCAGAAAGAAAACTAGAGATCTTTTGTGCTCAGGCCCTAGGGTTAGAAGAACAAATACTCACAGAGCAGAGGAATTGAACAATTAAATAGATAGTAATTTAATTTCTTGCTGTTTAGATCAGAAAAGGGAATGATGGAAGGGATTTTTTTTTTCCTGAGCTAGGACAATGGGCTCTGCATCCAGCTCCACAACTAGCACCAGCCAGTTCTTGTCTGCCTGTTTCCAGATGAGTTGTAAATGGCAAGCTGTTTATAACCTTTCCTAACCATTCTTGATAGCCCACTTGCACCAGCGCTCAGGAAAATAGAAGCATCCTGAACACTGGCAGAGCCATCTAAGTCTTGCCCTGCTGCAAACAGGAACACACAGCCACAGGACCTAGAAGTCATCGGTTGCCTGCAAGGCCATGCCTATGTGCTTTTCTACAAAAAAGAAAATCTGCTACCACAGCAGTTGTGAGCAAAGCTTTGCCATGCCTTCACAGGCCAGGCTTAACAGCAACAGTCTGCATCTATTTATTTTTGGCACAGAGGAATGGTTGGGGTCAAAGCCAGCCCCATTCTCAAGCTGCTCTTTGTTCCCTTGCTTTACCCAATACCCCATTCCTCTCCTCATCCTCCCACGTATCCATCTCCATTTTACCACAGGTCTTAAAAATTAAGCTCTGCATGAAACCAAACACCACACTTGAACATCTCCCAGCAAATGCTCTTCATGGTCACAGAAGAATACTAACCAACCCCTAAGAAACACGGATAGGAGAACAGCGTGCCCTTATATGGGCAGAGGCCAGACAAGCATCTGACAAACATCAATTTTAAAGAAAAAATAATATTTATTTGTAATATAAACAAAGTCCCAATATTGGATCAGTATATATAGGGTCACTAGTTTTCCTTCATAACTCAGAAGGCAGAACCATTCCTCACTAACAAGCTCCATTTATACTACTCAGAAGATTCTTTTTTTTCTTTTAAAGAAGAAAGACAGCTAACAGCACAGGAAGCCTTTACAAACCAGCTCAGCTGTAATGCAATACAGATGCACTGTCAAAAAATCCCTGAAAAAGTAAATTCCTCGATGAGGTAAGATGACATTCAGATATTCTCAGTTTGCTCACTCGCAACCGTACTTACACTCATGCTCTCCCCTAATGACCCATGATCCCAACGTTGTTATTAACAAAACCTAATGAACAGGCAAAAAAAAAAAAAAAAACCAACAAAAAACAAAACAGAAAACAAGAAAAGAAGCTCATTCCAACATTCTGATAACATCTTTAACAAAAAGAACTTTTTCAGGATGTGACAGCATCAAACATTCCTCCAGATGGAGGGTTTTTTTTTTTTAATTATTTTTATTTTTCTTGAAAAAATGTACAAAAAAATTGGATACTTAGAAAAAAATCCGTGGCTTTTTTTTCAGTTACATGAGAGTTAAAGTGGCCAGGGAGGGGGGGAGAAAGGAAGGACTACATTGCAGCCAATAAAGAAATCTCCAAATCCGTTCTGCTCTCCTCCCAGAGATTATTACCACTTCCTCCCCCTCCCGGCTCGGTTTAAGGTGTTTGCCAAACACTAGCCAAAAATATAAACAAGTCTTCTCAGAATAGAAGGCACAGCATAAAGTTATTTGAAAGAGGAAGAAAAAAATAAAAAATCAGAACCTCTGTTGAAAGCTCCAGTCATCTCAGAATTTGCCAGTTAATATATATATTCATGTGTGTATATATATATATATATATATATATATAAAATTCTGTTACGACACTCTCATCATCACTTCCACATCTCCCCACTCCTCTCGCACACCGAATGTGTGCCCATTCAGTCCCATTCTGCTGTGCAACCCTCGCTCTGCCCCAGGCTCAAGCCATGTCATCCAAGCCCCAAACACGTGCACATGTGAGAAAGACTCAACCGTGCACCAGGAATGCCAACATCACGTCTCCTTTCTGTTCTCAGGAAGCTGGAATGATTTCAGGCCAGCTGGATGACTTTAAGTCAGTCAACAGGCAGCAGAAAACGAAGCTGGGCTCAGACATGCTTCTACCAACTCTGGAGGCTACAAAGAGTTTTCTCTCTGGGCAATAGCAGTGTTTTGGCAGGGGTGGCATTAAAACAAGCTTGCAGCTTAGTCACCTTGGCTGAATCAGTGCAGAGTTTGTGATTGCAAATGCAGGAGTGGTGAAGGGGGTTGCGCTTAAGCCCAATTGGCCTTCCACACATCACAAAGCTTCCTACCAGATGCTAACAACAACAGCAGCAGCATGTATCTCTCTATGGAGTACCCAGTAATATGCCAGGACATACCAAGGCTTCACAAAGTGTGCAAAATGCATTTGGTCAATATAAACATTTGATTAAAAAAATAATGATCAAACAAGAAACAGAATAAAATATCGGTTTTGCAACATCGTCTGTACAAACAGTCAGGAACTTACATATTTAAAAAGAGTTTGAACCCAAAGCTTGAGTAAGATCTATTTTTTTTTTTTTCTTTAAATCTAAAAAGTAAACTTGGGTTTTAAAACAGTCTTGGCCCAACACTTTTTGTTCAAGGTTTCCAAGTGCATAAATCTCCTCACTTTCCACAGCAAGCCAACCCCTGGTAAGCTCTTCACACGTGTACGTGCTCTGACGGTCCCAATGCACCCAGGAAAGGAGTTATTGCTGGTAACAGCTGCATTCAAAATGCTTTAACATCGCCCGTGTTAGATAAGCCCTGTAAAAAAGGCTACCTATTCAAACCACTTTCATTGGAATACTAATGAATGGCATTAGCCTTCTTAAAGCAGCAACGTGGCACCTCTGCCCAGAGAAGCTAGTCCTTCCAGAGCTGCCTGGCGAGACAGATTTTTGTAAGAGTTGAAATGCTCAAGAGAAGCAATTTGATGCCCAAGTTTCCAACCAGATGGCGCCTTCTTCATGTGGACTCCAGCGTGTTCAGCTGAAACAGGTTGTGGTTGGTGGGGGTGGTAAAGTAGAGCTGTTCACTGGGTGAGCGGTTGTCGCAAGGGCTGTTGAGTCCCAGAGTCCTCTCAAAGTCCAGCAGCTGGCCCATGAAGTTAAAATTTGGGGAGATGTTGGATTTTTTCCTTTTCACAAAGTCATAGGCATCATTAAGGGACAAGTTGAGTTTCTGCATCAAGTAGGCGACGGTGACCGTTACGGACCGGCTGATGCCCGCGAGGCAGTGAACAAGGATCCCACACTTCTTGGAACGGGCCTCATCTGAAACAAGACAAGGGGAAGGGGGAGTCCATTATTCCGCACCGAGAAAGCAAAGCTTTGGAGCAGGGCCAGGTGACAGCTGCATACTCAAAGGACCAGGATGACTGCCAGAACTGGATCCCCTGCTCCTACTGACACCACCTCAAATCCCTTTGACACCTCATCCCTTCTGAAAGAGCTACTGAGAGATTCCCAGTATGCAGCAACGTGGCGCAGGCCCATTTGACACAGCAAGACCACGCATCTCAGACATTAGAGGAGAGCTTGGCACACATCCCTTTCCAGGAGAGCATCAGTACCATCTAAAGACAGACAGGGCTGGAGACAACAGCTCCAGGGAGATGCCGGGCATAGCACAACCACCACCAAAGCAACACCTGGCCGCACACAACACAGGAGCGTGGCCCAACACCATGCAAACGACTCTCCTTTGCTATTCTCATAGCACAGAGACTTTCCACTAGAAAGTTATTTGAATGTAATCAAAGCCAAGTGAAGCCAAGCCTGAAGTGCAGGAACTTCCCTTATTGTGAAATCCTTTTCAGGACTGAAAGAAGTGCACTTCACTACAAACAAATGCTTGCGTTGGAGAAGATTTTCTCGGAACGAATGGCAGCGGGGAGTAGGAATGCAGGCTGTACCAAAAAATTGCAAAAGAACAGAAACAACATTTCCCCTCCTTGGCCACTGATTGAAAAGCACACACATGCTCATTGTCTCTCTCACAGCCAGAACAGCATGACCTCTTTATGAATTGACATCTTGATGCTAACAGAGGGACACACTGCTGAGCACACTGAGCGCATACAAGTACACAGCTCCACTTACTTCTAGGCAGCTATATTTGCAGTCTATTGCTGGACAGAGTTTGGCAGGGAGGGAGAAGGTGGCAAGAGAAAGAGGGTCCCCAGGCAAAGCCAGAAGAGACACTCTGGCACCATCAACGTGGGGGAATGCAAAGAGGCTGCAGGCAAAGTGAAATCCAGACCCAAGCCACAAGACCCTGCCCCAGCCTCTAAAACCAGGCAGGGATTTCCAGTGCTGTGGGCAACCACCCCCCAGCACATCCAGCCCTCCCGCCACTCTCTCCCTACTCCATATTCTTCCAAGACATTACTGTTTCTCATCTGACTTGTGCTGCAGTTCTCGGTGTTCAATTTTTAGAGTGAGATAATCTTTCATTTCCTGCCATTAAACAGAAAGCATGAGCACTGTGTTCACAGGGACACTGCCTGAACGGAGCAGGCAGCTCCCAAAAGCCACATGCCAGCAGGGACCCTGTGAGCCACCCATGATGTTTAATAATGGATTCTGCATGGGAAGCGCAGACGGATGATCAAACAGGTCCCTGACGCAGGCAAAGGTGCCCCTTGCCCATATCTACCACATTATACTTTCAACCAGATAAAAAGCCATCAAGCTTTTAATAGCGTTAGCAATGACCTGTGCCAATTTCCCAAGTAAATCAGAACTGATTAGACCATCACCAATACTCCACACAGGTCACACTGGAAGGGCGCACCTCCTTTCAGCCCAACAGACACTTCCACAAGAAAAAGCAGCAATTTTCAAAATTAACACTAAAGGCATCCTCCCTTGTGCCCATCTCAACACCCAGCCCAGGCTGCTCAGAGGCTGTCTTGCACAGCACTTTCCCCAGCAGAGCTCTGGAGTGTAATTATTATCATTCATTGCGTTGACACTTACCTTTGGAAAAGTAACCATACAAGGAGTTAGTTACACTAGGGAGACTTCCAGCAGGATCAGAACTAGACTAGCAAATCTCCTGCTGAGAACCCTGCTCCCCCCACCCTGACACTCTAAGCACATTCGGGAAACTGCTGGCACCACTCACAGTAATAAAGCTTCCAGCAGCACTCCTTCCTGCAAGCAAAAACCAGGTGCCCAGAGCTCCACATTGCCTCAGCTCAGTGATTTCACACCATAGCGAACCCCCACTGAAGGGCAAGCAGCAGCAGGGCTGCTTCTCCTGCACTGCTCACAGGAGACCTGGCTGAACGGCTGGAGGTCCAGACGAGGAGGACTCCATGAATCCATTCCAGCAAACATGCACCAAAGGCATCACTCCAGCAGCGTGCCACCCAGCTGCTAAGCCAACAATGATGCCATGCCCAGAGAGGTAAGGCCAGAGACCGTCCGCAGCACCACTAGGAAGCTGCTTGCCACATTCCCAAGCGGTGAGCATGAGAAGAGACATTCTGCCAGCTACCTACCAATAAAAGCAATGGCCTCAGGAAAGAACTGAGAAAGGTTCTGGCTCCAGTGATCTGAGATGGGGATCTGCTTGTACTTGAACTCTCCGTCGTGCTCAAACATGTTTGGCAGGTTGGGAGTCACATTTAGGATGTATTTAATGCCATATTTGCCCAGGATGTCCAAGTTGGTAGAATCTTTGGCACAGCCCAGATACAGGTATGGAAGGATCTGGACTGGAAAGGCAGGCTGATTGCTGGGGATGGGGCTCCCATCTGACTCTGTCGCGCTGCTGGGTTCCCGGTCAGATTCACCATCTGAGCAGTCAGAGCTTATCCGCAGCCCTCCCAGGCCAAGGACAGACACCGGGGGAGAGTTGCTGGGTGAGGAGCTGTCAAGGTTTGTCTCGCAGTGCTCTGAATATTCAGTCTGAAACTTGTTAAAGCCACCTGGGAAAGGGAAAAGGCAGAGAGAAACGTGTTTTACTCTTCCGCACGGATGTCCTTCCACCCGAACACACGTGCACACGCTTTCAACTACCCAAGAAGTGCCATAAGGAAGGCTTCCCCCGCTCTTACTGAGCAAACAAATCCCAAGCAAAGAGCTTCTTCCTGAGCCTGACAAATACCAACCAAACCTCAAATGCAGGGAAAGTAACAACAAAACAAATGGCGAGACACAATCTTACTGCATTTAGCGCCATGAGATGCCAGGCTGGGGCAGTTTAGCCAGGAGCTATTATGCCATCCAGGCAGAAAAACACAGAAGTATCTGAGTCTAAAAAGACAAACTAAGAACAAGAAGCAAATAAGGGCCATAAAAAAAAAAAGCCCCATACAATAACAGCATCAAGCAAGGAAAAAGGCTGTATGTTTTTCCAAAGAGCCGTTCTCACCTCTAACTTATCACTACTTTTTTTTTTTGGACAGGGCAGCAACACAGGGTCACTCTTCACCTAAACCAAAGCAGGGCTGAGGAGGGATGGTACCTGTCTCCCCAAGGCCTTCTTCCATCTCAACAGCATGGGAAGAAAAGCAGAAGCAAACACCCCTACCAACCTGCCTCCTTCCAGGCAGCACTGAACTGTCACGGAGCCATCAGTAGCGGACACAGACAAATGGTTTAATTAGAAAGGCCTCCTGGAAACTTTGTTAGCAGTGGGGTCGGGGTCACAGAGCAGGACAGGCAGCTCCTGCCGCATCCATTCACCAACATCCCTCCTCCTCCTCCTGCGGCCGGCAGCACCGAGGAGCCATTTTGGAATTTTAATTTGAAACAGCTCTCACGCTTCCCCGAAAAAAAAAAAAAAAAAAAAAAAAAAAGGAGAGAAAGGGGCCACTCAGCCCCCTCGTGCTCATCGGGAGCGCTCAGATCAACTGGAGCACCGCTCCTTCCTACTGTTCGCGATGGGGACAAGCGCCGCGGGCGAGGCAGAGCAGCGGCAGAGCTGGACGGGACGGGCGGGGGCTGCAGCCACCCGCACAGGCGGGCAGCGGAAGAACGGCTTCAGAGGAGGAGGGGGGGAAGGGGCCCCTCGCTCGGGGCCCGGCTCTCGGACGCCGCCGGCCACTTCGGAAGGAGGCTCCTGGGAGCGGATCTACAAACGCCCACCTCCCCTGCCCGTATCGGGGGGAGGGGCTACCCACGTTCCCCTAACCGGGGGCTCTGAGAAGCGGCGGCATTGTGAAAAGCTCTGCCGACAGCGGCCTCCCCCGCTTCGGCCCGACTGTTATTTCTTTCTCAACGCCGCCTCCCAGCGACCGGAGAGGAGCGGGGCCGCCGACAGTTGCGGAGGCCGAGGGGTGCTACGACACGGCCCCCTCCCCACCACCCCCCAGCCTCCGCGCGGGGCTCGCGTGCTGTACCCGGAGAACCCTCGCTCCTCCAACGCGCTGCCGGGGGCGGGCAGCCCCCTCCCAGGCAATCTGCTGTTCCTGAGGGGGGGAGAGAAGAACGCTTTTTTGGGGGGAGGAGGGGGCTGGGAGATCATTTCTGGAAAGGAGGGGCACCCCGGGGCGGCGGTGGCACGGCCGGGGTCGGCCGAGGACAGCGCGGCGGGGCGGGCACGAAGGCTGCGGCCGCTGCCGGGGGAACGGAGAGGGGCACGAGGGAGCGGGGCGATCCCAACTCCCACCATTTTGTGCGGAGGATGGAAGCGGGGTCGGGAGAAAGGGACGAGAGCCGCCGGCGGAGAGCTCACCTTTCAGGTAGTAGGCTTTGCAGCCGTCGTCGCGCAGCTTCTGGAGCAGCAGCCCCAGCACGGAGCCGGCGGCCCCGGCGTCCTGCCAGTCGGCGGTGGCCTCGTCGTAAAGCAATACGGTGTCGGCCTTGCAGCGCTTGACGAAGCGCTCCTTGTCCTCGTGGTTGGGAATAATCGAGCGGATGGGCAGGTTGCCCTTCTTGAGGCGGCGGAGCATCAGGCCGGGGATGGCCAGATTGATGGCCGTCTCGATGTGCGAGCTCTCGAACAGCTCGTGCGAGCGGCAGTCGAGCAGCAACAGCGAACGGCCGCCGCCCGACTCCAGCTCCTCCTGCAGCCACTCGGCGCTCTTGCACGGCATCGCCGCAGCCATGGGCGCCCGCGGGGAGCTTCCCCAGACCTGCGTTTTCATGGGGCTCGGCAGCAGCCCTCCCCCCGCTCCCTTCCGCCGCGGCGGCTCGCCGTGCCGGGCTCCGCGCGGCCGTGCGTACGCGCTGCCTGCGGCCCGGAGCACAGCGGCCCCGCTCTGCCCTACGCGGCGCGCCTCATCCCGGCGGCCTCAATTAAAGCGGAGCTTCGCCGCCGGCCCTGCGTGTCATGCCGCGGGGGGCGGGCGAGGGGGCGGGGCCGGCGCGCCTCGCCCTGCCGAGGCCACGCCCCCAGCGCTCTGCACCAATGAGGTGCGGCGGGAGGGGGCGGGGGCAAAGCGCGGGAAGGGGTGCGGGGTCTCGCCGAGCGCTGCGGAGCCGGAGCGGCGCTCGGTAACAAAAGCGGTGCTGGCGGAGCTCCGCGCCCATTTGGGGAAGGGGCCTCGAAGCGGGCGGTGCTCGTGGCGCCCGTCTCCTTTTAGGCTAATTTTTAAGCCCAGCCCCTGCTGGAAACGAAGAGTCGACGCGGCGTTCGAGCGCGTGGTTATTTTCAAGCGGGCTGAGCGTCCCGCTGCAAGGGCTGCGTGGGTTCGGCGGGCCGCGCTCGGAGCCGTTTGCGGATTTCATCGCTATCGGCAAAATAAATGTCTTTGGCGTTGCTGTTCCGTGACTCAAGCGTGTGCCCCAGACAGCAGAACGGCTGAAGCCAGCCACTTCCCCTTGCTCGGTTTATTTTTACTGCTGGTTGCCGTGGGAAGCCGTTGTGATTCAGTGCTGCAGTAGGAAGTTACCAGCGCAGCTCTTACAGCAAAGGATGTTGAGATTCTTATGCAAGCCGTGGTGAAAATAGCTGACCTTTCCGTTTGTTTCACAAAGCGCCTTCAATCCGTATGAAGAACAGCAAAGTGCTGTGCAAGGAAGGCTCATCAGGGTCTGAAGCCCTTTTGTGCTGCACGTCCTTCGTGTTCTCAGTGCCCAGAAACTTGCTCGGCTCCCCTCTGGAGGCGCGAGGAAGGCAGCTGTAACCACGGTGACAGCAGGAGGGAGAGATCTCACCTCCGTTTCGTGGTCAAACACAACCACGTAAGTTTCAGGACGGGACAGGCTCCAGGCTGGTGTCATCTGCGGAGGTGAGACCAGATTTCACCCGGCAGCATTAAAGAACCCTTGCCTCCTCAGCTAGGAGCCCAGGGGCGTGGGGAGAGGGCAGCACAGAACCCCCGGCTCCTCCCGCTTTCGTCATCTCGGCGAATTCCTCCGACGCGCAGCCCTCCCGGACGTGGAGGCCGTCGGTGGGTCCCGCGGGGCAGGGCTGGCCGCTGGAGCCGGTGGCAGCCCGTCGGCTTGCTGCCCTCTTGAGTCAGCTGCTCCAAAATGCAGGGCGGCCAAGAAGAGAGTGGAAAGTGGCGATCCTGCCGAGACAGGTCCCTTCCCTCGCCTGCGTCCTCCCCGCAGCCACCTGCTGCCTGGGGACTAATGCAGAGGAAGAGCCCTCTGCTCTGCAGAGAACCGTGGGCATCACTTTCAATCTCCTGCACAGTGCATGCCACGTCTGGTTTCCTTTTCCGCAGACAAAAAACAAACGAGGTGGATCAGAAGCACCTGTCTGGGATAAGGATGCTCCGGCATGGCGGTGCAGGCTCTGGTGTTTTGGTGATGTTATCTGGTATTCACACACACGGCTTTGCTGAGATCAAAGCTCAGCACACATCCAGAAATGAGCAGCATTCAGATCAGCTCCAAAGAGTCCCAAGTGTTTGAGAACAAGAATACACTGTGATAAAAGCAGGTTGCTTCCTTCTTCATGTTGTACCATCAAAATTGGACAGGGTTTTCCAATATGCAGATGTGTGCATCTTCCTGGTTATTGTCCTGCTGTAGGACTCTCTCCTCCAGCAGCCTTTCTACTTGATGCCCACACTTACATCCTGGGTTCAGGCCACCTTTGCTCCGCTCTCCTGTGATGCTGATGCGACCACTAGCTCAGGCCCCTCATGCTCCTTTCCACCTGGGTCTTTGTGTCACATTTTAGAAACACAGACCATCACCAAGAGTTAGGACAAAACAGGGGGTAACAGCATTGTTAAATGCCTAACTAAGACTCTTTCCAGGCTTGATGTAGCCCTGCAACGGGCACTGCTTCCAGTGGTAAGACAGCCACAATGTGTGCCAAGGGAGTAGCCAAAGTCAGAGGAAAGGGAAGAAGGTTCTGCAGAAGATGCCTGCAGGGAAAGACGACAAAGGGAACCTAAATCGAGTAATGCAGAGTCCAGTACCCAAAGCACTGTGAGGGGTCTGAAGGCTCTAGCTGCAGGGAGGAGTGGAGGCAGGTTCCTGCTTTGGGTGAACCCCTCCCAGCCTACCTCACCTTCCCTGCCCTTGCACAATAAATATGAGGTTCTGGGACTTGAAGGACAGGTAAGTGAGGATGCTGAAGAAAGTCCATGCAGAAGGCTGTCTAGGGCGAGTCAGCCCCTCCCATGCCTCAAGACTGTCTCTGTCAGGAACAAAGGAAACGTGATTGTCATAGCTGAGTCCTTCTAAGGGAAACTGAGGGCTCGATGTACTGACAAGTTCCTACCCACAGGGCAGTCTGCTGCCTCTCTGGGGCCTGGGTCAGGAACATCACACAGAAGCTCCCTGGTCTGGTGTGGCCGTCTAATTACTGCCCACTTCTGCTAGTTTGGGCTTGCAGCAATGAGGTCATGGGGAGAAGACGGCAGGCTATCAAGAGGGACTTTAAAATTGAGCCTGGGGCAAGAATGTCAGGGATGGTGTGAGACCGACAGCCCAGCTGAATTGCATCTACACCAATGCATTCAGTATGGGCAACAAGCAGAAAGAGCTGGAAGCCACTGTGTGCCAAGAAAACTGTGAGTTAAATGCTATCAGTGAAACATGGTAGGACTGCTCTCATGACTGCATTGCTGCAATGGAGGGCTGTAAGCTCTTTAGAATGGATAGGCAAGGAAGGAGGGGCAGTGGCGTGGCTCTCTATGTTAGGGAGTGTTTCTGTGTTGTAGAGCTCAGTGCTGGGAATGGTAATGTTGAGTCCTTAGGGTAAGGATGAAGGGAAAGGCCAGCAAGTCTTACATTCTGCTGGGAGTCTGTTACAAACTTCCCAACCATGATGGGAAGTTTATATCATCTGTCTTCCAGGATGGAGAGATAAATGAAGCCTTCCAGAATCAGTTGACAGATATCATGTGATGGCCAGCTTGTAGTCATGGGGGACTTCAGCTTACCTGATGTTTGCTGGAAATACAATGCAGCAGAGAGGAAGTAATCTAGGAGGTTTCTAGAGTGTGTGGCAGATAACTTTCTGAGGCAGCTGGTAAGAGAGCCCACCAGGGGAGGTGCTCTGCTAGAGCGGAGGAACAGAGAAGGACTGCTGAGAGATGTGGAGGTTGGAAGCTTTCTTGGGCAAAGTGACCACAAAATGGTAGAGTTCCCAATTCTTGGTGAGGTCAGGAGAGGGGTCAGCAAAAAAAATGCTGCCTTGGGCTTCTGGAGGGCAGACTTTGAATTGTTCAGGACCCTGGCAGGGAGGGTCCCTTGGTGTTCAGTCCTGAAGGGCAAAGGGGTCCAGGAAGGCTGGACACCTCTCAAAAAGGAAGTCTTAGAGGCATAGCAGCAGGCTGTGCCCCTGTGCCATAAGATGAGCTGGTAGGGAAGATGAGTAGTGTGGATGAACAGGGAACTTTTACTGAGACTCCAGGAAAAAGAGAGTTTGTGACCTTTGGAAGAAGGCTTAGGCAAGTTGTGAGAAACACAAAGACGTCATCCAGAGGGAAAATTAGAGAGGCCTTCCGGGGCTGAGAAGGCCAATGGCAGCCTGGCTTGTATCATAAACAGTGCAGCCAGCAGGAGCAGGGAGGTATCACCCTCTGTACTCAGCTCTGGTGGGGCCACATCTCGAGTGCTGTGTTCAGGTTTGGGTCCCTCACTACAAGAGAGACACTGAGGCTCTGGAGCGGGTTCAGAGAAGGGCAAAGAAGCTGATGAGGGCTCTGGCACAGGCCTTATGAGGAGCGGCTGAGGAGGCTCAACGGAGACCTCATTGCTGCCTAAAGCTCCCTGAAGGGAGGTTTGTGGTAAGGTGGGGTTCAGCCTCTTCTCCTATGTAATCATCAATAGGATGAGAGGGAATGGCCTCAAGTTATGCCAGAGGAGATTCCGTTTGGACATTAGGAAGAATTTCTTATCAAAGGATGGTGAGATATTGGAGCAGTCTGCCCAGAGAAGTGGTGAAGTCGCCATCCCTGAAGGTGTTCAAGATGGATGTAGATACGGCACTGAGGGACATGAGCGGGCACGGTAGAGATAGGTTGGCAGTTGGACCAGATGATTATACTGGCCTTTCCAACATCAGTGAATCTATGAGTCTATGATGGTATGCAGCTTAGGTGTGGGATAGGGTTTCCAAGCATCTGAAGACTAAAGTAAAAGTACTTGCAGTCAGAAGCTAGACAGTTAAGTAACATTTTATTCTTAAAAATGAATCTCTGAAAAACAAAAAACACATCTTTCTTTTTGTTTTCTTTAGTATGCACTTTTTGTATGCACTTTTTCAACAGCATTGCACTGTGAAAGGATTTTCCTTCTGGTCTCATACATTAAGTCAGCTCTGCCCCAGCAGCTCTGGGCTGTAGCTGCTAAATCTCCCAAGGGCTCATCTTCTCACTGCTCAGTCAGCTGCTTTCAACATCTAATATCATGTACCAGCTATTATTCACTGCCCAGATATCAATTCATAAAGCCACTAGGCTCCTTTCAGCAAGTGCCCTCACCTGCCTGTGGTCGTGCATCCATCAGTACCCAGAGAGGATGCTCCTCCTTGGCACTTCAACCATGAGCTGCTCCAAGCAGCACTGTGTGGGCTGTATTTCAGCTGGGAATTGGCTCACAAGCCATCTGAATCAGCAGGGTGACTTCTGCTTTGCTCTGTAACGCTCAGTGAAATTGCTGCTTTCTGTACTGCAGTTCTCCCATCTGTAGAGTAGAGCTAGTTGAATCCTCATTACCTCTGCAGGCACTCAGGTGCTGGAAAACCAGACAGAAGGGTTAATCTGATGCTGGCATTCTCCCTGCAGTGCCAAATTCCTGATTTAATCACCTTCATTTTTCTTCAATACAAAGGATTTTTTTTTATTTTTTTTTTAAATTTAACTTCAGTTCCTCTTCCTATTTTCTTAATTGAGGTGGGAGTTATTCTGCCAGGGAAGGGCACATGTTGATAGTTTACTCCATGCTTCACTATTGCATGTAAGAAATTAACTCCTAGTAAAAAACAGATGCCCGGTTTTAGCAGTTAAAAAACAAACAAACAAACAAAAAAGACAAAGCCCAATTTTTCTTCCTATTCCTGTACTAATTTGTGACTCTTTTTATCAACATTAGCGCTGAGCCAGGGTAGAAATACTTCCTCACAATTTTAGAATTCATATTTGTCTTTATGCATATTCAGCAGAAATCGAGCTCCCCAGCCTCCGCACTGCCTAATCTGGATTCATTAGCTTCAGACACCCACTGGAGCAATGTCAAGTGACTTTGGCCTGCTAAAGCACGGCGCCCACAAGCACTAAGCGGGAGGACATGCTGTGCTCTGCTTCCTGCAGCAAAGCCATCCCTGTGCAGCTGCACCTGTGTATTTGAAGGCATCTCTCTTGGAAGTAGGAAGAGATTTCCCTGTTCCTCACACAGCCCCACTGCAAAGCAAGCAGAAGGAAGGCACCCAACCCCTCCTGTTTAAAAGGAGGTGCAGGCAAAGCACGTGCAGCCTCCCGGTGCCTTCACACTGTGCAGTCTCTACTGGTGTTCCTCCTTGCACATTACATTTGATTCCCGTGGATCTCCATCCCTGTCGTCCACCTGACTTTCTGTCGTCATCTTTGCCCCTCATCAGACCTGGAAAGCATCTTCAAGGTTAAGAAGACTCCTCAAGAGCTCCAATGAAAATCTGTGCCCAGATTTTGGCCTTCCAAAGGAGGCTGAGTAGGAGCCTTCTCCTTGGGCTGGTTCTTGCCTTGCCCACCATGTACGTCCCCCCAGGTACAACTAGAAGCTTGGCGACTGCCATGGGAAAGCAAAGCTGTACAGAGTGCTGCAGCCTACGGGAGAAGCGGATGTTATTTTCCCTTTAAATGCTTCCACAGCAACAAACAAGGCTCCAAGAACTTGGTTTTTCTGTTTTCTACAAGCAACTCTTAGCAGATACAGACTGAGGCTGGAGGTCCCTCTCTACAGCAGGACTTCATCCCAGTTGAGTACACCAATGTCTCTGAGCATGGAGGCTCCACACCCTCTCTGGGCAGCCTGATGATGTTGGACTACCCTAAAAGAGAAGAAGTGTTTTCTTATGCTTAATTGTCATGTTTCAAGCTTCAATTTTTTCTCATTGCTTCTTGTCCTTTCTCTGGGCGCCCAGGAAGAGTTTGGCTTCAGCTTCAGTTTGAGGAAACTTCCACATATTTGCAGAAAAGGGTTTGCTTCTGCCTGGGTGCAAAAAATAAAATAACAAAAAAAATCCAGTCTGCAGAGCCAAAATCTGATTTATCCAGGAGAAATTAGCCCAGCTTTTTTTCACACTGCTTTTGGGGACAACTGGCTAAATGACAGCTTGGGATGTCCCCAAGACTTGCTATAAAACCCAGCAGAGGAAGGAGGAAAGATGAAATAGTCCTCCAGCCAGTAGGGCAGCCTCAAATTCAACCAGATGGGTACAAAATACACAGCATATAATTTAATATACATCTTTGTGCCTCATTTCTAATCATTCCTCATTTTGTGTGATAGGAGAAGGCTGCTTTTAGTTAGCAGGCAGGCAGAGAGGAACAACCAAAAGACCCCGTGGTGCTCCCTGAGTGCCTCCCCTCTCTCCCATTTGCACCCCCAGCACCTCCCAGCTCTGCAGGCTAGGCATACGTGACCACCCACCCTCCACACACGTCAGTTCCTTGGCAGGTTCTCCCAGGCATCCAGGCTGTTTTTGAGAAGCAATTTCCTGCAGAGAAATATTTATTTTCAAGGAGGCTAAGAGGCAAGCTTCCTGGTGCAGGTTTTTCACTGGAAACAATTGTGAAAGTGGCTTCATCACTCACCAGGCACTTCTGTAAATGAGCCCAGGCACTTCTGTAAATGAGCCTGGGCTCCCAGCTTTGCTTCCCCAACTTTTCCCCACCCTTGCTGATGGGGTGAGATTTGATTGCTCATCCCTCCCAGGCTGCTGCTGGGATGCAGGTTTGGAGCAAGGGGAGCAGATGTATGGGAAAACCCTGACTTGGCCAGACTGGCTGAGCAGCACTTGGGATCTGCTGCCTTCTCACTGCCTTGCTGGGTCTGATTTCAAGCAAAGTGATCAAATACTGAGGCAGGACCTCTTTCCTGGCACAGCTGGGCAGCCGCAGCTCCTCAGAGTGCTCCTGGATGGGTTGCAGCCAAAACAGCCCTGGTGGCTTTGGCAGAGCTATTGGGGATGTACACTGTAAGAAGATTGGAATTGCACCCAGGAATGTGCTGGTGCACCACACCTCTGCCTATGGATGAAACCCTACACTTCTCCAATTAAATCCTTGTTTGATGCACAGATACTGTGGAAGAAGCCTGCATGGTTCTGCCCCTTTTCTATGTGTGTGGTGTTAGTCAACTGTGTTTCACAGCCTTTCATTCCAGTGAAATAGTAGTTCTGGTTTGGATGGTTTTTGGTGCCTACTGTTGGTCAGACACGGCCTCCTGTCCTCACTGAGGGCTCACTGCCTGTCTTCTCCTTGCAAAGCTTTGCAAGAGATCCCTGAAGATGCTTTATTTCCTGAGTTTGTTTCTCCTCGCTGTGAATAAACAAGACTGAGCAAAACCTAAGAAGCCATTTTCAAGAAGTTTTTCATGAGCAAGGGGCTGGATCCCCTTTCAGAGCATTGGAAAATGAGTTCTCTGTTTTCCTCCCTATGTCATTAATGCTGGTGGTCAGGGAATCCAGCTCTTTTTTAGTCCATAAAATTAGTTTAGGGAAACAAAAATAATAATAGTTTGAATGCAAAATGTCTCTTGGGAGAACTTCCATCCTTCTCCCTTCCTCAGTGCACTTATCCAAAAGGCAATATTCTGTGAGAAAAAACAGCTGTCCCTTCTGGTCACTAGTCCAGCCTGTTGGACCCTCGTGAGCACACTCACAGCTCTTGGATGCACATATATGACCTGCAAGAACATGATCAGCACAGAAGAAATCAGGCCAGGTCTCAGAAGCCACTGGCCCAGTCCTGAGCAGGACCCTTCCCCTTTTCCTAGCCTTAGAAGAAGGATACTCAGCAATATCACACAGCTTGACCTAAGCATTGGCAAGAAATAGCTGTGACACTCATAAGGTGCAAGTCCAGCTTCCACCAGCATCACCAATGGCAATTTGCTCTGGTTTGGCACATTCATCACCATTTCCTTACCAGGTCCTAAACCTGCATCTGCCCCCTCCTGTCCATGCAGCCCTCACATCTGAACCAGTGCAACAGCACTGTTTTCATCACCATATGGCAAGGATTTCCTCTTGATGCTGAGATGGTGCAGCCATATTAGTGCTCAGTAACAAAGGAGGAATCAAAACTTTTTTCCTTTTTCTCCCTTAACCTGCTGGCAATGCTCTTCCTAACTCCATGCAAATGCATTGTTGGCTCATGGTCAACTTGTTGACCACAAGGTCCCCCAGGCCATGTAGTGGTGCACAGGGTGTTCCTCCCAAAAGCAGGACATTGAATTTCCCTTTGTTGGACTTCATGAAGTTCCTCTCTGTTCATTCTTCATCCTGTCAAGGTCATCTGAATGGCAGCACAACCACCTGGAGGATCAGCTGTCCCAGTTTTGTACCATCTGGTGCAATTCCTGTCACCCAGGTCGTTAATAAAGATCTTCAACAGTCTTGACCCAGAATCAACGTCTAGAGCACACCACTAGCCTCTATCAGGACGTTGTGCTGCTAGCCACAACCCCCTAAGTACAGCCATTCAGCCTGTTTGGTTCACCTCACCATGCACTCCATCAGCATGTCTGTGAGGATGTTACGGGAGACAGCATCAAAAGCCTGGCTAAAGTCATTGCCTGCCAAGCTGGTTGTTGCCTTACAGAAGGCTGTCAGGTTGGTCAGGCCTAACTTCCTATTTGTGAATCCAGCCTGACTACTCCCAATCATTTTCTTGCCCTTAAAAATAGCTGAAAACAGCTTCAAAGATTATTTGCTCCACCATCTCAATCATCAAGGTGAGGCCAACCCTGCTGTGGTTCCCTGGATCTTCCTTTCCGAGTAACATTTGCTTTCTTCCAGTTTTCAGGAAATCCCCTTCCCTCTCCAATCACGTGCCCTTTCTTAGATAATCAAGAATGGCTTTGCAGTGACAGTGTGCTCCCATCCCATCCGCTCCCATAGATGAACCCCATCAGGGCCGGTGGCCATGCGTATGTCCAATTTATTTAGATGTTCCCTGACCTAATCCTTCCCCACTAAAAGGTCACTCTTCCTTGCTGTAGACTTCTTCTCTGCTCTTAGGATTCCCAAAAGCTGGTCTTGCCAGTAAGGACTGAAGCAAAGAAGACTTCTTTCCCATCAGGTTTATCACCACATTCAATTCCAGATGAACTGTGACTTTCCCATCTCCATCCCCACATCTCCCTACATTTCTTTCATGTCAGCTCTCCCTGCTTTCACCTCCCGGATGCTGTTTTTATGTTTGAATGTCGTTAAGTGTTCCTTGTCCACTCATACAGATCTTCCACCTGTGCCCGATGCCCTGCACACAGGGACAGATCATTCTTGAGCATGGAGGAGGTGACCCACTGCAGCCTAATTGCCAGGCGAACACCAGGCACGAAGGGGTGGCTAAGAAGGGGAGCTGAGGTGCAAGCAATGTACCTGAGTGACTGGAAGGGTGGAGCCAGGATCCACCCCTCCTCACCCTCATTTAAGCATTACCAGATAAGTGAGCAACATCCCTCTGGGTAGGGATTGCACTTTTCTTGAGCTGTCTCTAGTAATTGGAAAGCCAATTCTCCTTCATTACTCGCTTCATAGTGCCTGTATCCTGTTAGAAGGCACTGTCATTACCTTCTTCTGCTATACACCCTCCAATATATACTACATCTCTCAGACCTCTTCTTATTTCCAGGGCCATATCTCGTCAGATTCTTCCAAACACATCCTTGAAGAGGCCAAAGGTTGCTTTCCTGAAGTCCAGAATTGTGATGCTTTGATCCGGGGTTGGTTTTGCCTTACCCTTTTCTCAGGATGCTGCACTCAACTGTCCTGTGGTAGCTGTCCCCCGCTTTCACACTCTTCTCCAATGCACACAGCTATAAAAGGGCTGCTCTCACACACATCTGCATGGGCACAACTAAGCTGGCTTTTTTCCCCATAGAACTGTTTCCACATGCAGTTGGTATCGCTGGGATGGCCCAAGGACATGCAGAGGGTGTAAGAGAGCTCACATCATTTATTAGACCGAGAGATGGGCTTGAAAGAAAGGAATGGGCTTTGAAACATACATTTCCTATCTGAGAGTTACACAGTGGACCAGCATTTTCTCCTTGCCTTGGTTTAATGACCACAAATATCATAAAAAGGGGCAAGAGTTTTGAAAGGGGGCTTATCTGGTCTTGCAGAGCAGATGACAAGCTGGGACAGCACAGCAAACCTTCTATCCCAGAGGAGATGCGGGTTCCCTCCTCCTCCTTACCCACACACCGTGCTGACCTCTGCTGCAAGAAGGGAGACACACATCCTGGGGACACAAAACCCAAGGAGAACAAGATCCTGCACACAGATCCTGCTATTACTGCACAGATGTGTTGTGTCTGTGTCACCGTCTTCACTCCTGGTCAGAACAGGAAGGCAAGAGCAGGCAGAGAGAGAAGTGACCAGGCAACTCCTAAGCATGTCCTGGGGAGCAGAAACAAGACTCAACCCTGGATGGAAAGAAGCAGGGAGGGCACGTGGCAAAATAAACGTTCTGGGGAGTTGCAGGCTGCATGATTAGAAGGCAGTTTGGACCTTATGTTAGGAGACCTGTGGGAGATGGCGTTCGGAGGCATGAGCATAAAGCCCCACAAGCCAGGCGGCAGCAGGGATGAGCCCTGGTGGGAGCACAGCTCATCAGAGTAGGCTACTGCCAGGAGCTGGAGAAAGTACGACTTCTGCAGAGCCAAGCTTTTCTTGTGAAAGTCAGGAAAGGACATCTTGGGTGAAGGTGGCATTTCCCAAGGGGAACATTATTTCCTTGGGAACCATGAATATTCAGGTCAAGTGAAAGCTATTGGCGAAGTGGTCGTGCACTGAAAAAGAAATCTCAGCGCCCAGATTTGTGGAGTGAAAGGTATTGGAAATGCAAAACATTACAGAACTGGGACAGGATCTCAGGGTGCTGGGCGGAGCTGTTATTGGTTGCATCAGCTACAAGTGTGGCTTGGCATTTCAAAATAAAATCAGATTTGTGGCGCGTGATTTTACATATTTAAATTACTTTCAGCAATTCATACAGTGACATTTAAACAAAGGACGCCAAGCAAATGGCACCCAGTGCTTGAAGGAAACGTTTGCAGGTAACAGTACTTAATTTAAGAAGGAACAGATGATATGAAGACAGGTTCTTAACTCCGAATTCAGCCAACATTCCTCTTTGAACCACAGAATGGAGCATAAATACCCGGGCTTGTGAATGCTTAGATATGTAGAATGCTGGGATTCGAGTGCGGCCATTCTGCCCCAAAGGTGGGGACAGCTCCAGGCCAGGAGGATCGCTAGGCTTGGTGGTACCAGTGCTCTTGGCCTCTACTTGTCCCTCTGCCACCAGTCCCTCGTCACAGGTTCACCCAACTCCTTCTTTGGCCGTTCCCTGTGAGTTTGTTTTAATTTCTAAAGGCTAAACTCTGCCAGGGTGCAAACACAAAAAATTCAATGGAGTCAACTTACACACAGGCTGAGCATTTCTGTTGGTGCTCCCAGCCAATTTGGAGAGCTTAGCTGGGTCTATTACATCAGTCACACTGGATTTCATAACATTAGACATTTCAATGAGGGTGACTCATTCCCTCTTGAAGAGCACTGTATGTATGAGCAAAGATGATTAACTTCTGCTGAACGGTATGATTTCTGGGATGGGAACTGCTGTTAATTAGGAGCGGATCTCAGATGCTCACACTGTGTTGTCATGGCCTACTTTGTTTATTTTTCTCCATTCTAATTTCTTTCTTTCTTTTTCTTTCTTTTTTTTTTTTTTTTAAGCTTAGGTTAAGGATTAAAGTGCTCTGCTCTGCTATCCGTCTCTGAAGCAACCAGATGTCAAACCAAGGCATCTGATGGCTGCAGACAGGCATAGCCCAAGGCTGTCAGTTCCAGTGGCCAAGTTTCTGCTTACCAACCCCTCAAATATCTGTTTTCACATTAAAACCAACCAACCAATTAAAAAACAAACAAACAAAAAAAACCAACACAGCGCTTCCTACCATTGCAACAGCAGCAGCAGATAAAGTAAAAGAAGCTCAGGATGTAAAATGCAAAGAATTACCCTTCTCCACCCCTCCAACATTTTCTGTTTCAAAAGAAACTCTTAGAAGGATGTGCTGCAAATCTCATGCTTCTGATGCTTCTGACAGTTGAAAGCTGAGTCTTTGGGGTTAGCACTATCATTGCCAGCTCTCAAGCACTCTGAGATGCAGCAGCAGCAGCAGCCACAAGGCTGGGAGTGCTTAGAGGGGCTGCAGAAGAGTCACTGCTGTTCTCCCCTGCCCAGACCTACCTGCTTTCTCCTCCTGATGCTAACACCAGTCAGGTCCCATCCCAGCGATGCGACGGACGTCCTACCCCAAAAAGCCAAATGCTTCACCTTTGTCCAGATCTGCTATTGCCACAGACAGTCCCAGGAATGCCCAAATCGTGGTGAAACTCTGTCGGGCTTCTTGTTTGTGGATCCCGGTGTGAATCAAGTGGGACTTCCAAAAAGAGAGAGGACAGCCCATTGCACATCCTAGTGCCCTGCCAACAAGGATAAGATTAATCTACTTTGCCCAGCGCCCCATCATCATATCCCCTGCTCTTACAATCGCTCTTGAAATGTCAGGCAGGAACTGCAAGCAGCAGTTATGCAAACAAGGGTCACCATATCAGCACTGTTTTCTTGCAGTGGCAGAAGTTGTGCCCTTGGTCACAGGCTGGACGCTTAGTCCTGCTTTGGGGTAGGGAACGGTGTTACTGCTAGGACCAAAAAGCACAGGCAAACCTGAGAGAAGCCAACTTTTCAACTAACTGAGATAAGAAGAGATGTTATTTCTCATCAAAACTGACCTGAGGTTAGGCATTTCAATGTCAACAGAGGGTGGGCAGTCCTAACACCACACCACACATCACTCCTCACAGGCCCAGCCATCATCCTTTCAGATGAAAGCTCATTCTCAAAGTAGGGACAGTGTGGTGCAAGGACCAAAAGGACAGCACTTATTCAAACCAGAAGTTGGCTGGAAGAAGGACAGTGCCTGCAACTCCTGCTGGCCCCACAGCACTGCTGAGCTCAGTGTTCCCACACCTTTATTTTCTGCATCTTTGGAAAACAGCAGTGCAAGGGAAGCACATCATGGAGATGTGCTCTTGCAAGTCCCTTCTCACCAGTATCTGTGGTGTTCTGGCAACTGGGAGATTTGGGAGCACTAGAAGCTTTCTTTCAGACTTGATGGTGAAGAAGGTGCATTGGAAACACATAGGGCTAGTTTCTTTCTGGCTTACAGAAGGACATTGTTTTTCTGGCATACCAATTCAATGGCAAATGTTTTAAACCCGAGGAAGGGGCAGTGCTGGCACCACATTGGCTGGGTTTCCTCCTCTCTGAGCAGTCTTCCTGCTGGCACTCCTAAAAATGTACAGTAGAGCGAATGTCTCCAAGGCAGTTTTTATCACCATGAGTGCAGAAGAACAATCTATGCTGCTTTTGTGCCTCACTTGCTTACACACACACAGGAAGAAGCAGGCACTCAACAGGAAGAATGTTTAACCACTTTGGTACCAATTGCTGCAGGAAAGCCACCCAGGTGAGCTGCTGTCCACCAAGGGGCATGGGAGGGCTGGGATCCCACACTATCTGAGCCTAGAAGTGTGAGAAACAACCAGTGCCAAGGGTAGGAAACCACAGAAAACACTTCTACACTGGTGAAAACTATATGGGATTGGTGGTGCCCCACCACTGCCCAAGAAATGATGGCTGTCTCGTCACTGGAAGCGCTCATGCATGCATCAAGTGCTCATGCATCTTGACCAAGCGCAGCCAAGGCACTGAATCTTGAACTGCAGCATTTTACACAAAGTCCCTGAAGTGTAACGGTTTTATCTCAATTCTAGGAGGGCAGCCCTTGTGAAACCTGTCCAGATTTGCTCCTTCCCAACACTTATTCCACCTGACTTGCTACAGCCAATATTCAGCTGCTGCTTCAGGATTTAATCACTCTCATCCTGTGGTCACCAACTTTGTAGAAGTCTGTACAGAGCTCAACCTGTTGTCAGACACGCGCTAATTTGTGTGCTTCTGATGATTTGTTTCCATCTTAAAACCTGGTTTTCAGCAAATTGCAACTGCACTTTAATACATCCTTGGCTGGAACTTGAGATGCGTGTTGCCAGCCTCCCAGACACAAACAGGCTGGCATTGCACAGGGGAAGTGGGGGAGAACTGAGGCAAATCAAATTAAAGTTCCGTTCATATAAAATGAATTCAGTAAAACCATGAAGCCAGCAGCAGTTTTGTATCATAGAAGGTTCCGGTTTTATAATATCTGTTTCTTCCTCCTTAAAAGAAAACTGATCTCAGCCCTTTTGGAAATAAATACTTCCTGGTTCTCAGCCAGGCCAGGCTTCCAAAGGGCATTTAAGACATCTTACACAAGCACTTCAACTATCTCTATTTTAGATGATCAAGGCTCTTATTGTTATCTTGTTGTTGGTGGTGATTTTTTTTAACTTCCAAGCTTGGCATTAATAATGAGCTCAGAAGCAGATGACCAAGACAGCATCATTTCCCACTTGTTTTCTGTGGATGCAGGCAGAGAAGCTCGGGCACTGTCCTCTGCCTCTTTATTTAAGGACCACTCTCTGCTGGTGGCTCCAACAGTCTCTGACTCTTCCAGTGCAGGCTGACCTCTTCATTTCCTATTAACTTCACCCCAGTCTTCACTAGGCAGAAGCAGCAGCTAAAAGCAAACTGTGGTGCTAGCCCAAGGTAGCCAGCATCACTGTGATGTGCAGGACTACTCAGGTACTCACAGACCTACTGTACATTACGGTCTGGGGACACTGCAGCATGTTCAAGTCACAGGCTTGAGTGCCTTTGCACTCTCCTCTCTGCCAAACAGCCTGTGAAGTGCTCGGGGGCAGTATCTTTCTGAGCATCTCCCAAGAATAATCAAAGTAACTCACCAGCTCTCGCTATATCCATGTCTCCTGATGGAAAGCCAGCCTGGAGCAGTTTGGCATGCAGAGCCCCCAGTTCTGTTTCAACCCTCTGCTTCACAAACCCTCTGGAGCAGTTTGCACCCTGCCACCCACCCACAAGATAGCTCCACCTGCAAGGACAGATGAGAAGCCAGCAATCCCACAGGGCCCAGCCCCGCTGTGGATGAAGTCAAGAGCTGGCAAACCTGCTGCCAAACCCTCAGGACTTCCCCCACCCTGCTCCCTGCCCCTCTCCACAAAGAGCATGCTCCAGGCATCAGAAAACATCCACTCTCTAGCACAGGGGACTTCCTTCTAGTGAGGCACGTGTGGCCTCTGCCTCCTGGTTTCTTACCATCCCATCCAGACACATCTGCCTCCACCCGCCAGCTGATACAAAGAGGACACAGGGTTTTATCACCTCCTTGGAGCCCTTCCTCTCTTCCTCTCTTCTGCCTGAAAACACTTTTGGTGAGACTCTGCTGCTGCTTTGCTAAAAAGGAAAGAAATAGGCAGACTCAATGTTAAGGAAACCTAACAGAGCACACACAGCAATCCAACCACTGAGACACATATGCTGCTCTCCATACCAACAAGGCTGTGCTGTATTTAGATCTAGCTCTATCTCTTACAGACTGGACCAACTGTTTCTCTGCTGTGTCATCTTCACTTATTTGTCTCCAAACTGTTTGCTGAAATCCTCAATTCAGGGAGACGGGGAAGATGGGATCTTGTTTTTAATGACAGGAAAAGCAGCAAATGCCAAGAAAGCCAGGCAGAAGGTCGAAAGATTGCTCAGTGAGTCACCGCTTTCAGAGACCACCCATGTGTGCAGATAGATTTGCTTCCTAGAAATCTCTCTTCTTCGGAAGCAAGCCTAGTATCCGTCTTGCTGAGTCACTTGGCTTCTTCTCCAAAAGGCACTGTTCTCCTGTGACCTTGCGTGGTCTGCATCTTTGTGTCCTTCCTCCCACCATTCCCGTGCCTAAGGATGTATGAACTGCTCAAGTTTCGCAAGAACTTTGACTCACAGACCTGGAAACCAGCAGGATGCTTGTACCAGCAGCGCGCTCCCTGATGGTGACCATGCATGAGGGCAGACAGAAGCGTGGCCACATTTGCCTGTAGTGCAATGCTTCCAGGTGCCAAAAAGCTCCCCCCAGCCGCTTTACTGGCCTCTAAAGCAAACGACTGTCTGCTTCTCTGAGGAAGAAAGGATAAAGAAGTCCAGTAAGAGACAGATGTTACAAGTAGGAAACATGGGAAGATGCGAAGAGACAACAAAGGGCATTTTCCTACCGTCTTCAATGTGCTAAATCAGCACAAGGCTACCCTGGTGTTTGGGCACTTCAGCCTTTAGTGAAGCCTTTATCTTCAGGAGAAGCAAGAGCTGGGCAGGACAGCATGGTTAGCAAAGAATGCCTGTTCTCCTCCTACCTACCTGACACCATCCTGCTCAGAAATAGTTACTGGGTCAGTAAGTACAAACCTCTGATACCCACGTGAATGCAGCTGAGTCTTGCTTTCTCTTTTTCTCCCCTGCATTCTGCCCCAGTTGCTGCAGCTCTAAGAGCAATGCCTGGACATTCACACAGCTCTTCTGCTTGAAAACTCACCTGCCCCAAAACCCCAGCCTCCCCACCAGATCTGGGGTATGAAGAGGTATGAAGTTTCTGGGGCATGAAGTTTCCTCAGCTAGAGGCTGATCTTACAGATTTAAGAGCATTTTCTTGGCATGCTTTTCCAGCAGAACAGTGATTTGCTGCAGAGCAGATGGATGAAACTCTAATTTGAGTTTCACATGATTTATATAAATATGCTTAGACGAGGTTGCACATAGATGGTGCAGTCATCTGCCAGCCTAATTCCCTTTACCTTAAGAACCTCGCATTCTTCCCCATTAATTTTGCCAAGCACCTCGGATAACATCTGGTTGTGCTCGCAGTAAGCAGTCATCTTGGCCTGGGTCATTCCCTTCCAGGCCTCCTGCAAAGAACCCAGTGTAAGTCTGCCCTCCCAGAAACAGTAAGCAGCCTCATAGCTACTCCTCTCATCCCTTACAACACAGGACAAGCTATCCAGTGTATCACCAAAGCCACAAGTGTCCCAGTTCTCTTAGCTCAGGAGATCAGGCACGAAGGTGTGGACAGTGCCGTCTCCTTCCCAGGCAGGTGGAGACAGAAATGGAGCTCTCAAATCTCCTGTAGCAGGTTGGTTTCTGGCAGAGCTTCTCCCCACCACCATACACACGATAAGGGAGTGAGGGAATGCTGGTGTGCTCACTGCCACTGCACACAGTGAGACGACACAGTAGCTTCTTCCTCCTCAACAGATCAACGAGCACATCCCTGTGGGTTTACTTTGAAACCCAGCCTCATCCCTTCAGCTGCTCCTCATAAGGCTTGTGCTCCAAACTCCATATCGGCTTTGTTGCCCTTCTGTGGACACATTCCAGGGCTTTGATGTCTTTCCTGTAATGAGGGGCCCAAAACTGAACACAGTACTCTGGGTGCAGTCTCACCAGCGCTGAGTACAGGGGAATGCTCACCTCCCTGCTCCTGCTGGCTGCCCTGTTCCTGATACAAATCAGGATGCCCTCAGCCATTTGAGCACACTGCTGGCTCACATTCAATTGAGTGTTGACCAACACCCCCAGGTGCATTTCTTCTATACAGTCTTTCATCTACTCTGCCCCAAGCCTATAGCACTGCCTGAGGGTGTTGTGACCAAAGTGTGTGACCCAGCACTTGGTGTTGTTGAAGCTCATATAATTGTCCTCAGCCCATTCATCCAGCCAGTCCACAATTCTCTGAAGCGCCTTCCTACCCCAGGCAGATTAACACTTCCTCCAAACTTGGTGTCATCTGCAAACTTACTGAGGATGCACTCAACCCCCATGTCTAAGTTATCAATTAAACAGGACAGGCCCCAACACCAACTCCTGGGGAACAGCACTTGAAGCCATTTGCAAGCTGGATTTAACTTCATTCACCACCATTCTCTGGGCCCAGCCCTCCAGCCAGTTTTTCACCCAACAAAGTGTACCTGTACAAGCCACAGGCTGCCAGCTTCTCTGGGAGAATGCTGTGGGACACAGTCAAAGGCTTTGCTGAAGTCTCGGCAGATCACACGCACAGCCCTTTCCTAATCCACCACTCAATCGTAGAAGGAGATCAGGTTGGTCAAGCAGGACTTACCTTTCATGAACCCATGCTGGCTTGGCTTGATCAGCTGGTTGTCCTGTGTCTGCTGATGATTGGCTCCGTGACCTGTCAGGCTGACAGGCCTGTAGTTCCCTGGATTCTCCTTCTGATCCCACTTGTAGGTGGGTGGCACACTGGCAAATCTCTGGTGGTCTGGGACCTCCCCTGTTGGCCATGACTGCTGCTAAATGATGGAAAGCAGCTTGCAATCGCTTCTGGCAGCTCCCTCAGTACCCTCAGGTGGATCCCACCTGGCGCCATGGATTTGTGGCACTCCAGGTGGAGCAGCAGGCCCCTAACTTTTGCCTCCTGAACTGAGTGGTAGTGGTTATTCTTCTCCCCATCCCTGCCTTCCAGACTCAGGGGGCTGAGTACCCTGAGGATAACTGGCCTGATTATTAAAGACAGATGTAAAGAAGACATTAAGAACCTCAGTCTTCCAATAGGAAAAATTCCATCCTGGGATTGATGTATATGGAAAGAAACCTTGATGCCAGGGCATGCCTGTAGGCATCTAGGTACAAGATGGGAGCAGACAGCTTGTGAGATTTCTCAAGAGACAAAGTGAGTAAAACTCCATGTTTTGGCCTAATTTCTCTGGCCATGCATCTCTACTGGCGAAGAAGAACAATGTTATGTTGGCATCTGATCCACACTGTGGAAACGTGAGCAGACCCAGCTCCCAGCTCTGCCCCCCTGTAAAAGATAACGTGAGCTTTTTCTGGCATCTCTGGCTTTGGATGCGCAGGTCAAAACTTACAGAAGCAACACACGACTTGGAGCATCTTGGGATCGTGGTCTGATACACACCAAGGGACACTGAGTTGAGAAGGCAAAGACTCACGCCCATCCTCAGGTATCACTGCCCTGGTCCTTGTGGATTGGAGTCCTTTACTGAGGTCTTTCCCAGCCAGCCTGAGCCATGTTAACCACCACTCCCACATGGGTTCGTTGTTTGAGATTTGCCCCTAATTACAGGCAGTAGAGAGAAAAGAAGAGCCCAGAAGGGCAGGAAATTCAGGTCAAGGAGCGGTGGAGTCCTGGCACACCAGCAGTCCACAGAGGAGATGCAAACGTGCTGAAGCAAGGATGGGAGCCAGGAGGGATGTAAGGCATCAGGGCTGCATGGTCCATGGAGTCCCACACTGAGCTGCTTGCAGCTGTGGCTTGAAAATCTGAATCATTCAACTTCTGCCAAATTTGGAGACTCCCTTCCTATTGTGTGAGTAAGAAGAAAGTTCACAGTACTGTCTCCAGAGCAAAGCTTCCCATTGGCTGTTAGGGAAATTCTCTTGCATCTCTCCAGCACCCACAATGGAGGCAGATGAGGAGTGTGTAATCTGGAAAATATTTGGGTTTCTGCTTCAGTGCTGAGAGGATGCAACAGAAAGGGCTGAGTCTTCTGTCAAAACCATTTCCCATCATTGTGATCGTTTTAATCAGAAAACCCAAGTGTCTGAAAAAAAGACCAAGGAGAAAATGACACAGCAGATGCAAAGCAGCTTCTGGAGCATCCTACTGCTTGTGGGAAGAATGGCAGGAGGAGAAAGCTGTACCTGGAGCCTCTTGCTGCGGCACAACGAGACAGGTGTGTTAACAGCAACTGAAGAGCTACCAAGCAATGGCAGCCCGGGACATTATCCTGTCACCCATTGTCGTTTCCCTGCTTGAGAACACAATGCTGGGCTGAAGGACAACCCATCCACCACCAGGACACCTCTGCTGATGGGAACCCAGCGCCCAGCTCAGCTGTGCCTGTCTTCTTGCCCAAACAGCAAGTGAGTTGTAGCTGTGCTGGGAATTAGAGGAGTCAATCCACAACCATGACAATGCTTCAAAGAGACATTTCTCCAAGAAAACTTCCGGTTTTGAATTGATTGCAAAACCAGATGATTTGATTATTCCTGGATTTAATTTCAGGTTTTATTTCTAGTCCCTTAAAAAGCAGCTGCTTGATTTTAATGGCAATAACATTCTCCTGCAGAAGTTTGAGTAGCTTGTAGAGAAGATGCTTGAAAAAT